GGTTTGGTCAACTTTAGGGTCCTTGAGCCATGAGAGGGGTAAAATGGTCTTTTACCCTTTTGAGAGTACTAAGAGGAGGAATAGTCTAGCCTTGAGAGATGTATTGATTCAGAGTGTTTATTTCATATGATTAGGCGGAGGCTAGACCCGACATTACAGAGTTCGAGCTTTACCGAGTTACCCGAGGTGAGTCTTCTCACTATACTTTACCTAGAGTGGTAATTAGAGCTATGAGACAGAGTATTGTGTATGCTTTTGCATGATGTGATTTCTATGTGTTATATGCTATGTATGTTACAGAGTTTTCAGAGTTAGGACCGGAAGGTCCACAGAGTTAGGGTCAGAGGACCCATAGAGTTAGGGCCAGAGGGCCCACAGAGTTATGGGACTGGGGGGTCCCACAGAGACACTTTGACCAGAGTGTCAAACAGAGTTATAGCCTCGAGTGGCTAATATGTGTTATGTGTGGTATTTTGGGGAACTCACTAAGCAATTATGCTTACAGTGTTGTGTTATGTGTCTCAGGTACCAGCGAGGATCGCAGGAAGGCGCCGGCTTGATCAGTACACACGCGGGGAGATTTTATTATGATCTTGGGATATGATGTTATGTGATACAATGGTGTTTTTATAACGATTATGAATGAAAACGTGTTTTATAAAATGTGAAAAATCGTTTTGAAAATTTGGGTGTTACAGCTAGGATACCTACCTTCCCTTGGCAGAGTTTTCCTATAATAATAGCTACCATGCCAGTATCGACCGGCCTCCCTTTGAGATGCTTTACGGGAGGAAGTGCAGGACCCCAATATGATGAGGTGAGGTTGGTCAGAAGGTAATGGGGAGTACCGAGGTGGTATTCAAGACGACGGAGAAGATCCAGCAGGTCCGGAGTAGACTCCAGACGGCCCATAGTCGGCAGAAGAGCTACGCCGACAGACGCCGATCGGACTTGGAGTTTCAGGTCGGGGACATGGTCCTTCTAAAGGTGTCACCTTGGAAAGGTGTCATCCGCTTCAGAAAACGGGGCAAGCTGGTCCCCAGGTATATCGGACCTTTCAGGGTGATAGCCCGGGTGGGCAATGTAGCATATCGGTTGGATCTTCCGGAAGAGCTTAGACAGATCCACAACACTTTCCACATTTCGAAGCTGCGGAAGTGCATAGTCGATGATACCGCGGTGGTTTACTTTGGAGGATATTCAGGTAGATGACAACCTGAACTACATCGAGAGACCGGTAGCCATTCTAGACAAGAAGACGAAGGATCTGAGGAACAAGAGGGTAGAGTTGGTGAAGGTGCAGTGGCCGCACCGCAAGGGCTCAGAATGGATGTGGGAGCCGGAGGATGAGATGAGGGAGCACTACCCAGGGCTATTTCCAGCCGCAGCAGACTTCAAGGACGAAGTCTGAATAAGTGGGAGAGAATTGTAACGCCTGGTTCCTTTTGTATAGAAACTCGACGAGTCGGAGGCCCCAAACTCGTCGAGTAGAGATGAATTGGAATGCGGATTTTGGAAACCTACTCGACGAGTTGGGGAGCCTCAACTCGACGAGTAGGCTGGAAAAATGAAACCCTAATTCCAGGGTTTTGCACCCTATTTAAACACCTTAACCCCAAGGTGTTGGCCTCATCTCCAGCCTCCACTGCCCAAAACCCTAGTCTCGAAACCCTAAGCCATTTTTGGTGATTGTGAGCTAATCTTGTGCATTATTGGTGAGTTTAAAGAAGAAGAAGCTTGAAGGAGAAGCAAGAACGTGTGGGAGGAGAGTAGATCCAGAAGTTGGGCTTCATTTCTGGTTCATCTGAGGTATAAAGCTTCAACCTTGTTCATGGCATGCTTAGATCTAGTCTTAAGATGTTTTGCTTCATGTTTTTGTCCAAGTATGTTGATGGTTGGGATTTGGACGTCCCATTTGGGCAAACCCTTCAGATCTAGGGTCTTGAGGGGACTTCATGGCATAAAGGTGGCAACTTTATGGCCATGGAAGTCCCATGCAACTTTTAGACCATCTTTTTGGTCTTTTAATCCCTATTAGGTCATGCATGCGAGTAAAGATGAGATCTTTACGTGACCAAACTGTCCCTAGAGTCCAGATCTATGACCTCATGGTCTATCTTGACGTTTTGATGACTTTTGAATTCGGATCTAAATCATTTTGGGTTAGGGTTTGAGTTTTTGTTGTGAGGAGAGGTTCTTAATGGGTAAAGTTGGAAACTTTACCCTTCTAGACGTATTTACAGCTTGGATCCAAAAGATAGGGCCTTGATTTTAAGAATAGGGACTTAATGCATTAAGAAGGTTGACGGACTGAAGAACTTGACGAGTTCATAAGAGAACTCGACGAGTTGTTCTGGAAGTGTCCCGACTCTGTTGGAAAAAGAGGGACTCAACGAGTTGCAGGAGACACTCGACGAGTTGGATCGTGATTTCACGATTATGTGATTTATGGAAACTCGACGAGTTGAAGAGTAACTCGGCGAGTTGAGTCAACTCGGAGTGTTGACATTGACTTTGACCTGGGTGTTGACTTTGACTTTGACTTGGACTTTAATCAAAGTTAACCCTTAAGGGGTTATGAGTATAAAAGGGGAATTAAGGAAATCTTTTATGTGTAGGGGTTTGAGTTGGGTTGATATCCGGAACCGGGGATTGTTCAGCTATTTCTAGTTTTCGAGGTGAGTTACCTTCCTGGTAGCAGTGGGTCTAAGGCACCAAGGCCGACCCACTAGTAGGAGTTTGTAGTTAGATGATTGTCTTTGTGATAATTGTCTGGTATGGCACTATCTGTTATGATTTATGTGCTAGTATGCTATGATATTATGTGGTAGTGGTAGGGTGAAATAGACCCCGTATCCGGTTGATAAGACCGAAGGGGTAGGTCGGACACCCAGATATGCCTGACAGTATGTTTATGTATGATTATGTATGCTGTTATATGGTAGTGGTAGGGGCGAAATAGACCCCGTAACCGGTTGAAAGAGACCGAAGGGGTAGGCCAACACCAAGATATGCTAGACGGTTACCGGTTGAAAGCGACCGAAGGGGTAGGCCAGCACCCTGATATGCTAGGCAGTACCGGTTGAAAGAGACCAAATGGGTAGGCCAGCACCCGGATATGCTAGGCAGTATGTTTATTGTATGGTATGTGGTATGATGGGGGAACTCACTAAGCTTCGTGCTTACGGTTTTCAGTTTTGGTTTCAGGTACTTCTTCTTCGAAAAGGAAGGAGCCGGCATGATCGCAGCGCATCACACTATGATATTCCACACATGAGATCTTTGGGTGTTGTACTCTGATATTGTTTTCTTATGACATGTTTTGGATATTGGTTTTGATTATGATATGAGATGACACTATTGATGTTTTTAGACTACTGGTTTTTATGATTACTTAATTAAAAATGAAATTTTTTTTCATGACTTTTGGGATTTTACAATAACATTGAAAGAATATCATTTACATAGTAGATTAACATAAAGAAGCTTAATTTCTTAGTTGAGTTTCTTGACTTGGAACCTCATTTCCCATGACTAGACAAGATAGGAATTTGTGAATCCTTAGAGACAAAGAAGGAATGGTCGAATATTAATAGGAAGGATCGACACTCAATTTCTGAACAGGAATGCTTGAGTAGGAAGTCGACTTTGGTAATATGATGCAATAGTTTTTTTTTTCTTTTCTTTTTATCTTTTTTTGGAATTTACAACTCGATCATAGGAGGGACAAGGAAAAACATGATCGAATCGATTGAATGTAGGTCATTCGGTGTAGCAAGAAAAATACGATTAAAAAAATGACTTCAATTCCGGGCCGAATAGCCCTAGAACCGAATAAACCTAATATAGATAGCCGAGAACCGAATCGAATTGTTTATTTGGGCCTATTTCGGTTTGGGTTTGGTTCGGTTTTCGGGCCATATTTTCATCCCTATCTTGGGTTTGTGGAAGAATGAGTGAGTGCTCCTTTTGGTACAACAGATTATGCAATAATTAATCAAAAGAAAGAAGATGATTGTATTGAACCAATAACCTAAGAATTTGCGTTAAGAATTGTTAGGCGTGTAAGTTTGGATGGATCGGTTTGATCCGATCCAATCAAGTGAATCTAAATTGATTTCGGTTTTCAAAACATGGATCCGAATAGTCAAAACTAAAATCAAATCCGATCTGATCCAATTACAATTTGGTTGGATCGATTTTTATAATTCGGTTTTCAAAACCGAAACATTTTAAAACGACATACAATTATAATATTATTCAACTTTACACAAGAAGCGAAAACAAATTATTTAGTTGTGATTTGAAATTTATAAACAACTAATAAGAAGATATATTATAGTTAAATATTTTACAGATAGAAAACTTTTGAGAGAAAATGCATATTAATGTTTTTTTTTATCAAGTGAATCGTTTTGATCCTATTTGAAAAGATAAATTACAAAATTAATAAATAACTATAGATATATATATTATAAATAAATAAATAATAAATGTTTATTCAAAATTTTTGGACTATTCGGTTTTTATTTTATAAACCAAAATTAATCCAAAATCCAAAATAATAATTCGGTTTTGTTGAAAGTCAATCCAAAGATCCGATTATCCAAACCAAATAGTCCAATCCAAATTGTCCAATTTGACAATTCAGTTTTATCCAAATAGTAAACAATCCTAAGAATTGTGTTAGGAATTTCCTAACCATTGACCGCAAATCATTGAGCTCCAATCACTAAAATATAAATACCTGATTCTCATAATGAGAAAGATCTATCTTTGCAAAATGCAAACGTATGTTAAAAATTATTTATTATGTCACGTATTCAACAACAAAACTGGCTACATCATCCAACCGAACATAAACCTAATGGTGATATTATTTTGCATGATCAAGTTTTGAGATTCACTTTAGGCAATTGACCACGAATCACAAGCCCCAATTGTTGTGAATGAGGTATGTGTGATCGTAAGTAAGTGAAGACAAAGTTATGAAAGCAACTGACTTGACTAGTACATATACCGGATGATATGTTAAGAAATAGGAAGATATATTAGAAAGTTGGTTGATTGTGATTGTGATTAATAAAATATTCAACAAGTTAAAAGGTATTTGAGAATTGAGTTCAAAGGACTCTTAATAAAATGTTAGTAAGGTAGGCTCCTTCTGGATAAGATGGGTCGATAGGATGGTCACAGGCTGCCCCGCACTGACGTACAACTGTTATCTTCCTACCAGCCATTGACGCAGCCCCCTACAACATATGTATTTTATTATACACATCACTTAGTTACTACATACACAACACAACTTTCCCTGAAAAAACATAAATAAAACCAACTAACCTGGAGAACACCCAAGAACTGCCCACTCTTCTGAGTCATAGCTCCTGAACACGAACAAGTCATCAAAAACCCACCCCGTTTTGTTAACCGCATCGCAAGTGAGTTCAGATTCCTATACATTCCACTTGCACTTTGTAGAACCTACCATCCATCCATCCATAATCATATGATTTGTCATTTACATTTTACACTTACTTATTAATAAGACGATTTAATCTCAAATACCTTCCTCCGAGGTGCTAACTTAGGGGGATCCATAATCACTATGTCCCATAATTCATTCCTAGAAGCAGCATTCTTCATGAAAATAGTTGCATCTTGTTTCAGGAATGATATCTTCCCCGGATCCAGATTGTTGAGAATGACATTATGGTTAGCTACTTCCAAAGCAGGAGATGACGTATCAACACCTGTGTTGTGTTGTGTTGTTGTGTTGTGTTGTGTGTCAATCAAACAACATACACATTGCTTATTGGAAATAAATTAATAAATGCATTCCCTAATAATATCTAATTACAGCCGTCACAAAATAACCAATATGCACAAATGAGGGAGTGGAAACAAATACCAGTGACTTCCAAAGCATGACCATGTGCAGCATTTAGAGCAAAGCCACCAGTATAGCAGCACATGTCAAGCACTCTTTGACCATCCGAAATGGTAGATATAAATTCACGGTTTTCACGCTGATCCGCATAAAACCCTGTCTTTTGTCCATCCAACGAGATCATATAAGATATCCCATTCTCCACAACCTTAACCACCCTTTCACATAATAACTCTTCTTCTTCTTCTTCCTCTTCTTCTTCTTCTTCTTCTTCTAAGTCTAAGTCTAACCCTTCTTCTTTCAATATCTCTGTTGACGGCCTCCACAGTATACTCTTGATCATATTCAATCCACTGATACACTTCTTAATATGTTGCTTGTACTTCTCAAACCCATGCAGCTGACGACGCAATCACAGCCAAATCCCCAAACACATCAACTATAAGGCCTGACAATCTGTACTTTGGATAAATTAAACCAATGCTATAAACAACAGATTCAAAATAATAGAAATAGCTACCTATCTCCTTCACTATTCACAAGACGATATGCATTTGTATTGGCAGAAGGGAGCCCCAAGCTCTTACGTAATCTGATGGCTGCATCTATTCTTGTTTCAAGCAGCTTTTCCACATTCAATGCACAAGAAGGATCTCTGTGCCATTCATTCATTCCATCCAAATGTTAAAATAATCTACATCAAACAGTTTTTTTAATTTGAGTAATTATTTAATACCCTGATACTTCCTCCTCTAGCTGCATGAGCCTCACACAGAACATAGAGCAGGAGTTGTACAAGCCCCAACCGATTGGCTTTTGTGTCCCGTCAGCCACCAGCACAACGTCACCTGTTTTTGGGGGTGGTCTACCAATAATTCTATCAACTGCACCGCTGTAAACCATTGGGCTTCCATCACGAAACAGTTGTGTTTTCCCCTTCTTTAGGATAACCTTTGCAACACCTGCAAAACCATCTCATTCTCATCAACCCAATCCATGTTACCATTTGTTGCTATATGAAACCCATAACATAACCCAGAAACAATGTTTTAAAAATCAGACAGACTACACGCCACGTGCATGAAAACCTAAATATTTATAAAACAAAAATTAATTGCTTTAGGTTTTGGTGACATAAACAACCAACATCAATCAGTTGTGAAATTAATTGGTTCCGTTCGCTGGCGTGCCATTCAAAATAATATGAAAATACCCAAAAAAAAAAAAACAAAAATCACGCTAACTTGCTAAATTTCAGAACCAGACAGATACAAGTAAGGAGTTGAAAGAACAACACCCCTGTTAGGTGCATTCCCCAAGTAAAATCAGGAAATCACTTATCTCCCCTGGTCGTTTACAAAAATTAACCACCCACGGCAAGTTTTATATTCCAAATTTTTAATATACTCGGACCAGCCAGTCTCAAAAGAAACGGCACAATTACGAATTCCCTGTTGTGTGTGCGTTGCATATAGATAAAATACAAAAGTATATAGACAGCCGGAGAGAGAGAGAGAGAGAGGACCCTTGGATTGGTTTGAAGCGATATCCTGAAGGGTGGTGTTGGTGGTCAACGGTGGAAGAGCTAGGCACCTCGTCAGACGGCTTGAGAGCAACATATAAGCTGTTTGAAGCTTCGACTGCTTTTCTATAGCTCAATTTTCCGCCCTTGCGAATTGCGATACATAAGCAGGGAGAGGTCCTATATTACAGTATTTTAAAGGGTTATTTTCATAAAAGACCCTATATTTTGATTTTTTTTCTTTTTAGACCTAAAACTTTTTTCTTTTCCGAAAAAACCTAACTTTTAGCTTTGACTTGTTATTTTAGACCCTAACAAGTAAATTAAGTATTTTTATTTCATAAAAGACCCTATATTTTATACTTTTTTCCAATCTAGACCTAAAATGTTTTTTATTTCAAGACTAATTGTATAAAAACATGATTATATCCTTTTAGTTTAAAAATAGACATCGATTTAAACAATGTAATTATTATGCCTACATTTATTTATGATTGGAAAATTCTTTTTCCACGTATATTTATAAAAAAAAGACCCTATATTTTGTTACTTTTTTCCATTTTAGACCTAAAATGTTTTTTTTTTCAAAATAAACTCAACTTTAAAATTGGTTATAATCTTCAAAACCAAATATATAAGGTACTTCTTGACTATACTGAAAAAGAAAGTATACATGTATACACAAAAAAAATGTTATCTGATCTATTATCTTTTGAGCGAATATAACCTAGAAGAATTACAAAATTTTATTTTTTTCTAAAAGATATAATTAAACTTATCTTGGATATATATATATATATATATATATATATATATATATATATATATATATATATATATATATATATATTATCATTAAACTTGATATATTGTTTATAAAAAATGTTATTATTACCGCTAATAAAAAGTTCGATGTTAATTTGATGTTTTTTGGTAACATAGACAATACATGGCTAAGATGAATCTTTTAGCATAATAACAACTTTTTTATTTGTAGAAAAAACAACATACCATGTAATTTAATAAACTGTATACAAATAAGATTTTGCAATTTTAAACAAAACTTGAATTTGATATATCTAAACAAAACTATTATGAATGTTTAGGATTAATATTTTTATGTATGTATTTGATATAGTTATACCATATTATTCAATAACGGGCTAATGCTACAAAATATTCTATGGCTTTGGTTTAGGAGTATGATAGTTAGTTCGTTTGTTAACTGTTCCAAAAAAATTGATTAAAAAATTCAACCAAAAAAATAATATAGAAAAGTGAGAGAGGGAAATATGTCCAAACTCACGAAATAAGTATAATAGACAAACTAAAAAAAAATATTTTGTATACAGTTTTGTTAAATTACCTGGTATGTTTATTTCCTACAAATAAAAAAAATGTTATTATGCTAAAAGATTCTTCCTAGCCATGTATTATCCATGTTACAAAAAAAATATCAAATTAACATCGAACTTTTTATTAGCAGTAATAATAACATTTTTTATAAATAATATATCAAGTTTAATGATATAATATATATCCAAGATATATCTTTTAGACAAAAATAAAATTTTGCAATTCTTCTAGGTTATATTCGTTCAAAAGATAATAGATCATATAATATTTTTTAGTGTATACATGTGTACTTTCTTTTTTGGCGTAATAAAAAAGTACCTTATATATTTGGTCTTGAAGATTATAACCAATTTTAAAGTTGAGTTTATTTTGAAAAAAAAAACATTTTAGGTCTAAAACGGAAAAAACTACAAAATATAGGGTCTTTTTTTATAAATATACATGGACAAAGAATTTTACAATCATAAATAAATGTAGGCATAATAATTATATTGTTTAAATCGATGTATATTTTTAAACTAAAAGGATATAATCACGTTTTTTATACAACTAGTCTTGAATAAAAAACATTTTAGGTCTAAACTGGAAAAAAGTACAAATGTTGGGTCTTTTATGAAATAAAAATACTTAATTTACCTATTAGGGTCTAAAGTAACAAGTAAAAGGTAAAAGTTTGGTCTTTTTCGGAAAAGAAAAAACTTTTAGGTCTAAAAAGAAAAAAAATCAAAATGTAGGGTCTTTTATGGAAATAACCCTATTTTAAAGGGAAAAACTCTCGAGGTAATTAACTTTTTTTTGCGTTTGTACTTTTTTGGTCTATTTCTTTTTTTTATTCAATATACCATCGAACTTGTTGTTTGCGTTCACCATAACCCTTTTGACCGGTTTTTGACCTGTGATAGCCGGTCAAAGGGTTATGGTGAACACAAACAACAAGTTCGATGATATATTGAGTAAAAAAAAAAAGGAAAGAGACCAAATGAGAACGAACTCAACAGTTGGTTACTCTCCTGAGTCATTTTCTCCGAAAAGTTAAATGAAATTAAAGTTGTAAAATTATCAAAGACTGCAGCCTTCTTTGGCTATAACGTATATGAAGAGCGTTTCAAAGGGGTAACCTCGTTAAAACATGGTCTATGCTATGCTTACTGTAGTTAGCTGTCAACACTTCTCTGCAAAAGGATATGACTGTGTATGAGAGGTATATTTATCAACATAAACGTTTACCTCAAGGTATATTATGGTGATGTGTCTATAAAAGCAGCATGATATTGTACATATTTTGATGTTGTATCTTATCCCATGAATTCGATCTTAAAGCTAAGTAAACTCAAAAATCACAGCACTTGTGATTCCACTCGTTTGTAGACTTGTCTAGAATCCATGATACGATAAATCATTTGATTGGAAATGTAAATGTAGTCATGAAATGCGTCTGCTTAGTCAAATTCCCCTAATAAATATTCAAGTGCATTACAAAGTTGTACATGTATGAATAATGTTCTTTCGTGGGTTATGTTTTGAAGAGAAGCAAGAATGAATCTCATAAAGTCATTAATATCAGTGGGAGATGACGTGGGATTTGTTGTAAATGAGTAAAGGGAAAATGAATCAGGAGGGTAACCAACTGTTGCATTTGTTCTCATTTTGTCCATTTCCTTTTTTTTTTGTACTCAATATACCATCGAACTTGTTGTTTGTGTTCACCATAACCCTTTGACCGGCTATCACAGGTCAAAAGCCGGTCAAAAGGGTTATGGTGAACACAAACAACAAGTTCGATGGTATATTGAATACAAAAAAAGGAAAGAGACCAAATGAGTACAAACGCAAAAGTTAATTACCCTCAAGAGTCATTTTCCCTATTTTGAAAGGAAAATGCCACGGTAGGTAGTGGATTTCACTTATTATTATTTTGTTTTTATGATTTTTACTGTACATGATTTTATGATTTTTGCTTTTATGATTTTTACTGTATATATCAATTAATCTGTTATTTTTAATTTTTAACCATTTTTTTTATTAACCGGTTATTATAAATTACACGAATAGTCTCTATGGTTTAAATTTCTTTCGTAGATGGTCTTTTACGAGCTATGATTTAAATTACATGATCAAAACTGACATATTTCTGAAATTTTGGGGACCAAAGTGTAACATTATCATGGTCTTCCCCATTAAATCTAGTTGAAACACGAAGCATACCAAGCAGAAATTATCATTTCAGGCTTATCAGATTCAACTCATACCAGACGATTTTCCTTCAAATAAGCCACAAATTGAACCCAATTATATATAGTTTAATTTTGAAGCCCCTTAGTGAACAGTTCTTCATTGCTATTGGTGGATTTTTTTTAATGGCTGCCTCTTTGCCCAATGTGTTAGGTGTTAGTCAGTAGTTATTGTGTCAAAATTGCTACGTGTTATCGTCTCGGATTACATAGAGGTGATTCATATGCCTGCATTGCTATCTTCAACACACGCGTCTCCCTATGTGATCTAGATTACAAATCTTCACCGATGTCTCCTCCAATCAGATCTAATCCCGTTTCCCTCATCTGCTCCTCCACCGCTTCTCCTTTACTTCTCATCTATCTTCTCCATGAGGCTGATCCTTCCTCAGCTCTCTGTTTTCTTTGACTTCATCGCCTCTCCATTCGTCTTCTCAGTTAAACCCACTGCTTCTTCGACTTCAATTTCATCATCGGCCAACATAAAAAAAATCCTGTTCCCTTTCACCGACGATCAATCAAGAATAAGATGTGATAATATGAAAACACAACTTCAACTTACAAATTCATAGATGTATTTTCCAGCACCACTTGCATTGGCGTAACCGATTTTAAGAAATTGGACACAACAAGTACCAGAAATAGTTGATTAGGCATTCGCGTTGAAGCGAAGAAGACAATCAAACCATCTGGTGGGTGTTTGGACATTACAACAGCAGTGGAGGGGAGAAATCGTGATTGGTGGTGCATATGAAGCGATAATTGTGTTAATAATAAAAAGTCAAAATTAGAGTTCTCTTGTTTGAATTTATATTCCAACTAGGGAAGAATCTTCGCTTTGCGGGGTTGGATACGTCAAAGAAATGGACAAAACGGAAAAATTTTATTAAGTACAATACCCGATATTAAACAATTGAAACAAAGATGATAACAATAAATTGCAAATCCAAAAGCTGAAAGTCTAGTATGTGATGTCTTTAGCCTCCACTTCAGACATGAGAAATTCAATTATATCTTTATCTGTATCAGCTCCAACTGCAAATCACAGTTCATAACTTATTAGTTAGTTCACATTTCACAAAAAACAAATCATATACAAATATAGTGGAGAATACATCTCTCTAATAGAAGTATAAATTAACAAAATTCCATATCTTCACAGTGTTATCATTTTCACCTGAAGCCAACTTCTGAAGAGGGTCAAACACACCATAGCCGAAGTAAAACACAAATGAATATCCTTTTTAAGTAAACCATCAACCGTTACTTGAAACATTAGTTATCGCTACTTTTTCCCAATTCTTATTTTATTCTTCCTGTTACAACAAATAACAATGCCATTTCAATTATAACTTTACCATATTGCATGGAATTAACAGAGAAAAAAAGAAAATTTACCTTTCCTTCGAGATCATCACTTGTTAGCTGATTAAGCGCTTCTGCTTGAGACTCCATGGTCATAACTAACATCCAAAAAAAAGAAGTTACAAGGGCATTCATGTCTTTTTCTATGTTTTAAGATAGAAAGAAAGTGAACCTTTTTCTTCCATCTTCTCAAATGCTGAAAGAGCACTGCTTGTATTCACATTGACCAACATTTCACTTACTTTTGTTGCAGTTCTATACAAAAAAAAATGTCCTCCACTACATTAACTCCAAGCAAAAAAGAGAAATAAAAGTTGAAGGATGAAAACAAACTTTGCTGATTGTGCACGTGCTTTGAGATTATCTTTCTTTGACTTAGCATCTTGTATCGTGCTTTCTAGAATCTGTTAAGAGAAATGTATACATTTAGAAATAAGCAAAAAATTCAGATCTTGGAAACAATATTTAAAAAGAAATGAAAGATATATATAAAAATAAGGAAACACGCACCCGAGTGTTATTCACCAGATTTTCCACAACGCCTTTGTGCTGATCATGTTGAGTCCTCAAAGAAGCTGCATTGTCCTAAATATCATTTCAAATTCATATTTGACATGGTCTGATGCGTCCTTCTTAAGACCTCCAAATGCAACCGGATATTCTGTTTCCTTCTTTTGTATAAGCACAAGGCTAAATCCTTGTGAAGAGAACATATTATTTTTTATGATATAATCATATAACCATAAAATTTAAAAGTAAAATTACAAAAGATTTTACCTTGTTGGTGGTGATAGATTGTTAGGATGATGAGTGAACAACAAAGCACTCTAGCTTCAAGATATCATACACTAATATCCCTACATTCCCTATTAAATACAAAAATAAAAACATATTAAGAGAAATGAATTATGATTTTATTTATATTTACAAATTAGAAATTAGAAGATTTACGTTTTTTTTTCTGCTGCCACTTCCTACAATGTACCATTTGATTCTTGACCACATCACCTGAAACAAAAAGATAAATACTTTTCAAGAATAATAAAATCAAATTTAGATAATCAGATAAATTAAACACACACACACACACACACACCGTCTCAAAGTCAAGTGAGTACAAATCATTCAAAGATTTAGACTTTGAAGTTCTTCCAAACACAAGAAGCAATTTATCATCATACAGAGCTGCAACATGACTACATTTTGAAGAAGGTCCAGGTCCCTTAAAAAGTGAACATAAGTATAACTATAATTTATATGTGTATGTGTGTTAGCAACAATCAATTACCAATCTATCGGTTTACATTGATCACTAAATTAGTAAAAAGCTTAGGGAAATATCATTTCTACCCTTGAAAACCTTAAATAGATTGCAGAAATGGTAAGTAAAGCAAGCATAAAATCTGAAATTCCACATCGGATTGAAGAAATAAGGAAAATAAAATGAACATGGAAAAAAGAAGATACCTTTTTCCTTTAACTGTGAGTGCTGCAATAGATGTATCCTTGGTTTGTATTTAACATTTCAAACTCTATAGAAAAATTTACACAGTTAAAAATCTTCATTAAAATATAAAAATATTCTAATGGTCTTGAAATTAGAATTCACACATGTAATATCTAAAGTCAAAGTATGTTGACATCTTTTTACATGGAATGACTTTAATTTGAATATCTTGTTGGTAGGAATCCACCTCTTCGTCTCTTGATCTCATTCCCGTCTGAGAACGCCAACCTGTCCATAAACACAAAAAAAGGAAAACATGAGGAATCCATTAAAAGGGTTTAATTTGGGTTTTTTAAAACTTAAGTAAAAATTACACTGAAAAAGCTACATCCTACATGTTCACAACATCATAAATTCAACACTTCTTTGCAGAAAGGGCATTGAGGTTCTACCAATTGACATAATATTACTAATTCTAAACATAATTCCTATATATAAACCCAAACTTTTTAAGAAACATAATCAATTTGATATCCATTTTGTTCAAAATTAGAATCCTCTTTCTACATAATCAATTCACATATTTTATTAACCATAATTCTTTCCCAAATGACATTTTATTCACGATAATTTCATCAGAAAGATCAGAATTGTTAACAAAAAAAGAAACCCTAAAACCGGGGATCAATATGTAATGGCGTATTAACTCCATAGACTGAATAAATGAAAATTAGATGTACTAATAATCGATTTCTAGGGCAAAAAATAATCGATGTGTTACTGAGAATAGATTTTCAAGGGAAAAAAAACAATCGATCTATTTATGACAATCTATTTTTAGGAAGGAAAAAAAGCTTACCTGTAACCGGAGGTCGGCGTCGTTGCCGGAGGCGGCGAAGCTTTTGATGGCATCGTCAATCGTGAAGATAGCAGACGACTGCAGATAGAAGAGGTAGAAGGAGAACAAAATTTATTTAATGCTTCAATCAGTCTAGGGCTAAAATCAATAGTAGAAGATGGACCTTACCTGAAGCAGACGACTTTTAACCACAAATTAAGACAGACTAATACACGGTGGAGGTTATGATTGAAGGAGTCGGGAATGAAACTATAAAGCCGTCGGCCAAACCACCAATGGCACACATTGGAGAAAGTAAAAAATTGGGTCCATAACCGAATTCGTAATTCAGATTGTTGCGAAAGGGAAGGACGATCGGAAATCGGAAAACATTTTGACGGTGGAACAACTCGGTCGGTGAAGGGGAACATAATTTTTTTTATTTTGGCCGATGATGAAATTAAAGTCGTAGAAGCAGTGGGTTTAACTGAGAAGATGAATGAAGAGGCGATGAAGTCAAAGAAAATAGATAGTTAAGGAAGGATCAGCCTCATGGAGAAGATAGATGAGAAGTATCAGAGCAGGAATCATACTGCAATGATCTGATTTTCATTCTGTATCAATCGTATTTTGAGTCTAGACTTGGATTCAAAAATTTCCGCTCCTTTGATACTGAAAATCATACTTGATCTTCAGTTGTGATTCGATTCTGCAACTAGTTTGTTTAATCGAGCGTTTTGCTTGTTCTTTCTATTCAATTCATCTATTAATTGTCAAATTTCCGAAGTTTTTATGAGAATTCATCCGTACATCAATGGCGAACTTCAATATGAACACGATGACATCCTTTTCTCATTTGCTAGGATCTTCAACAAAGATTCCTATGCTTATTCCATAATATTATGATCAATGGGCTGACCGCATGGAAGATTATCTGAATGGACTAGATGAAGAGCTTTGGGATTGTATTACTGGAAATGTTCTTCCTCCAGTAAATGTTCAAGCTATTGGTTCATCTGCTTCAACTCAAAGTGTTTCTGATCAATCAACAAGGCTGAAGAAGAATGAGAAAAGGTGTATCAGAGAGCTTCGTGGTGCTCTTCCTCCGATTGTCTATAACTACGTTCGTTGTTGCAGATATGCAAGAGAAATCTGGAATACTCTCAAGGAGAAGTTTCAAGGGAGTGAAAAGACGAAAATCAATTCTGTGAAGCATTGTTTTGGTGGAATTGAAAGAGTTCAAACAAAAGGAAGGTGAATCTATCGAACTTTACTATGATCGCTTGAATGAACTCATTTACAAATGCAATCACAATGGAATAACCAGGTCAACCATGGAGTTTAACCTCACTTTTGTTATGGGATTACGAAAAGAATGGCGAAATGTGAGTCTAATGGTGAAAACTGAACAGAGTTTCGATACATTGACTATGAATGATCTTTACAACTTGCTGAAAACTCATGAGTCAGAAGTTCTTGAGATGGCTGAAGAATCGAAGATAAGCTTGGGTGGACCACTAGCTTTAGTTTCGAAAATGTCTGAGAAAGAAGCAAATGAGAAGGAGACTTCTGACGATGAAGGCTTGATAGTTAACTCGGATTACGAAGCCATTGCTATTTACTCCAATAACAAAGTCAAGAAATTTTATAAAAAGCCTTTTGGTTTGAAAGCAAGAACTGGTGAAGCAAAAGTGAGTTTTGCTGGAAAAGTGAATGAGGAGAAGAAGTTCAAAAAGAAGGAATCAAAGTTTGAAGATTCGAAAGTGGAAAAGAAGCTCAAAGGTGACTCTTGTGTCGATTGTCACTATTGTCATGGTGCAAATCACATGGCAAGTGACTGTATGCTTCGAAAGAAGGAGGAAAAGAAAAATAAGATCAAAATCGATAAGAAGTAAGAACACCGAGAGTAAATATAATCTTGTTTAAGCTCATATTATGCTTTCGTGATACAAAGAGTTTCAGACAGAAATGTGGCAAAAGTTCTATCTAGTCTAAGTATCCTTCCCTATTTATAGGAAATAGAAAGTATACAAAAAATACGAAGGACTAATCATTACCGTTTCGAAAACAACTATGCCTTTGTAAATAACATTACATTACATCACGAACATTCAGAAACTTTCAACACCTTACAACTAAGTTCGACTCTTACAATCTCCCCCTTTGTAAGCAGTGTCGAAATCAAGTTATCAAAACTTGAGAAGCTATATGTAATGTCCTTCGAATTGGCTTTTCAATCCCATAAAGTTGTTTATTTTTCCCATCATGCTCATCTCAAATTGGCTTTTCATCAGATTTTCGAAATCTCTAGACAAAGCAGGGCCAGTCGAGCCAAAAATAATATCATCGACATATATTTAAACAAGCATAAGATGATCCCCAACTTTCTTTCGAAAGAGTGTGGGATCAACTGATCCTTGTTTAAATTTTGATTGTTTTAAAAAAGAGGTAAGAGTTGCATACCATGCTCTTGGTGCTTTTTTTAACCCATATACAACTTTATCTAAGATATAACAATGATTAGGAAATTATTCATTAATAAAACCTGGAGGTTGTTCAACGTATATTGTTTCTTCAAGTTCTCCATTGAGAAAATCACATTTGACATCCATCTGATAGACAACAAAATCTTTATGTGCTGCATAGGCCAAAAATATTCGAACAGCTTCGAGTCTTACGACTGGGGCAAAGGTTTCCTCATAGTCGATACCTTCTTGTTGCGAATAAGCTTTAACTACAAGCCTAGCTTTGTTTTGAACAACATTGCCATCTTTATCAGTTTTATTTTTAAAAATCCACTTTAATCCCACTATCAAAACATCTTTTGGTTTTGGAATCAAACGCCAAACTTTGTTTCGTTCAAATACAACAAATTCAGATTGTATGGAAACAACCCAGTCAGGATGTTCCATAGCAACCTTGACTGATTTTGGTTCAATTTTCGAAATAAAGACATTGAACATACAAAATTCTTGATGAGTATTAAGTACCTCGATTTTAGCACGAAGTTGAGCTCTTGCTAGAACTCCATCTTGAGGATCACCAAGAACTTGTTCCTTTGGATGATTTCTTGTCCATTTGTCTAATGATGGATATGCTGGATCAAAATCCAATGGCGCATCTTCGAACATTTCATCATTCTCTGAACCTGCAACAAAATTATTATCGTTTAAATCATGAAAAGTTTCATATTGATTATTATTCGACATTTTTAGCTCCCCCTCGACAATTTCATTTTCAGGTTGCTCTCCTTCAACATCATCATTCATTCTCCTATTCTCCCCCTTGAAAGAATGCTCCCCCTCAACATGAGAATTCGAATGCAAGTGCTCCCCCTCCACTTGATCATTTTGCATACTTTCACTATTTTCCAGAAGAAGGTGATGTCGAGTTTAAATCAACTGCAGCTTGAGTAAGTTTCGAACAGTCAGAATGCTTTGATGATTCAGGAAGTTGATTATCCTGAGCATTTATTTCAGCATCAGCTGCCCTATCTGGAATACTAAAAATTAAATCATAATCAAAATCAGACGAATTAAGGCTTTCAGATTCATCTTTTGATTCATTAATTATTGGTTTTTGTTCAAAACACTTTTCAACTTGTTTGATATAATAATCATCGAAAGTAAGATTGAATGTTTCTTTAATTTTTTGAGTTCATCTATTCAACACTCGATATGCAACCGAATTATGAGAATAACCCAAGAAAATTCCTTTGTCAGCTTTGGACTGAAATTTCGAAAGATTATCCTTGAGATTCATGATAAAACACCTGCAACCAAAAACATGAAAGAATTTGACATTCGGTTTTCGGTTATTAATAATTTCATAAGGAGTAATGTTGAATCTTTGATAAATGAACGATCGATTTTGTGTAAAACATGCAGTTGAGACTGCTTCAGCCCAAAGATATTGAGGAATATTCGCATATGTGAGCATCGTTCTTGCAGCTTCACAAAGAGAACGATTTCGCCTTTCAACAACCCCATTCTGCTGAGGTGTGTAGGGTGAAGAAAAATTATGCGAAATTCCTTTTTCTTTTAAAAACGAATCAAGAACATTGTTCTTAAATTCGGAACCATTGTCACTCCTGATTTTTCGAACTTTCTTCTTCAAACTTGTTTCCAACTTCTTGATAAAATCAATCATTATTTGAGCAACCTCGGATTTTAACCTGAGAAAATAAACCCAAGTAAATCGAGAAAAATCATTAACAATGACTAAAATGTACCGTTTCTTGTTGAGAGTTTCAACAGTCGATGGTCCACAAAGATCAATATGAAAAAGTTCCAATGGTTCAATAATTTTTGAATCGATGACAATTGGATGTCCTTGACGATGTTGTTTCCCTTGTTCGCAAGCTGCACACAAAGTATCATTATCAAATTTTAATACAGGTAAGCCTCGAATGACATCATTTACCACCAATTTATTAAGATTTCGAAAGTTCAAGTGAGAGAGACGTCGATGCCAAAGCCAGCTAACATCTGATGAAGCTTTCGAAAGTAAGCACACAGAGGGAACACCAACAATTGGCTTTATGTCAAGAGTGAACATATCTCATTTTCTTTTGGATTTGAGCAAAACTTCGTTTGTATTGACATTCAAAATAATGCTTCCTTCTTCATTAAACACCACTTGATTTCCAGTGCCCACAACAAGTTGCAAAACACTAATCAAATTATGTTGAAGACCTTCGACATAAGCAACTCGATTAACAATGAAATTCCCATTTGTAACTTTACGATATCCTTTGACTTGATACTTTTGATTGTTACCAAACTTCAGAACTCTAGCATTTTCCAAACTTCGATAATCACGCAAATTCTCTTTCCTTCTAGTCATGTGACAACAGCAACCACTATCGATATACCATTTTTCATCATATTTCTCGTCACATAGAACCTGCAATCAGTGAAAGAATTTAGGTACCCAAGGTTGTTTGGGTCCTTTATGATTAGTTTGAAACACATTATGAAATGAAGATACTAAAATCCAATTACGAACTTTTGATTTGTCACTATCAATTAAGTCCACTTCTTTTGGTAAAGGCTTAGAAATATAACACTTCAAAAGTTTAGGACTTTCACTGACTTTCGTCTTTTTCTTCTCAGATTGTGGCTTTGTTGCTTTTTCTTTCGAAACAGGGCGCCATGCCTTAACTGAAGATGTCGAGTCTTTCGATGATGAACTGACATTCGGCATTTCATTCAAATATTTTTCATAAGCATTTTTGATTTGTTGCTGAGAGTATTTTCCTATTTGATAAGACTTTCCTTTGCCTTCAAGCCAATTATCGATATTTTGCACATATGATCTACCCTTGGTATACGAAACTTTGAAAGCTTGTTTCGCCGAAGGATTAGGAAAATTTGGTTGTTGAGGTGTGAATTTGTCATTTCATTTTGAATGAACTTGATAAAACTTTTAT